TAGTTGGGTTGGGTTGAGTTGAGTTGGGTTGGGTTGATTGAGTTGAGTTGGGTTGAGTTGGGTTGGGTTGAGTTGGGTTGAGTTGGGTTGCATTGGGTTGGGTTGGTTGAATTGAGTTGGGTTGAGTTGGGTTGGGTTGGTTGAATTGAGTTGGGTGAATTGAGTTGAGTTGGGTTGAGTTGGATTGAGTTGGGTGAATTGAGTTGAGTTTGGTCCCAGGACCTCCACCCCAGATTCCTCAGCCCAAACCCCAACCCCAAACCCCCTCCCCTAACCTTGGAGGGGTCGGTGGGCGGCACGGCCTCGACGGGGAAGGGGCTGCCGGGCACGGCGACGCCGTCGTAGGTGACCTCGACGCTGTGGGTGCCCTCGTCGCGCGGCACGAAGCGCACGGCGCTGCTGTCGCCGCCCGCGCCCGGCTCCACCGTGCACGGCACCGCCTTCCGGGACGGCCCCAAAATCCGGGCGCCCACCTTGCCCTGGCCCCCCGCGCCTTTGGTCTTCACCGTGAACTCCTGAGCCTTGCCCACCTCCAGCTCTGCGGGGGGACGGGAAATGGGGAGGGGATCCCAAAACTGGGACAGGGAACCCCCAGATCTGCCCGGAAATTGGGACAAGGAACCCCCAAATCTGCCTGGAAATTGGGGGGATCCCAAAATTGAGATGGGGATCCCAAAATTTGGGACAGGGCACCCCCAAATCTGCCCTGAAACTGGGGAGGAGACCCCGGAATTTGGGAAAGGGAACCCTCAAATCTGTCCTGAAATTGGGGGGATCTCAGAATTTGGGATAGGGAGCCCCCAAATCTGCCCTGAAGTTGCGGTGGATCCTGAAATTGGGGAGGATCCCAAAACTGGGGAGGAGATCCCAAAATTTGGGACAGGGCACCCCCAAATCTGCCCGGAAACTGGGAGCTGAATCCCAAAACTGGGGAGGGGGACACAGAGTTGGGATTGGGGACCCCAAAATTGGGGTGTGAATCCCAAAATCCAGGGGTTGTTAGGGATGGATCCCAAAATCGACAACAGGGAACCCACCCCCTTCCAATGCTCCCAAAACCTCCCCAAAATCCCCCCAAACCCCCTGGAGACCCCCCCAAAACCAAGGACCCCCACTCAAATCCGGGACCACCCCCCAAAATCCCCCCAAATCCCCCTTACTGTCATCCAGGCCGGAGATTTTGATCTTGGCCAGGTCCAGCCCCGGGCTGACCCCGACGTTGAAGGGGCTTTTGGGGATGGGGTCCCCCCCGTAGGTCACCGACACCCCCAAATTACCCTGGGGGGCACAGGGGGGGTCAGGGGGTGGCCCCAAAACACCCCCTCCCCAAAAAACCCCCCCAAAAAAACCCCTGAGCTGATCCAGGTGGGGTCTGGGGGGTTCAGGGGGTGTTTTGGGGGGTGTCAAGGGATTTTGGGGGGGTTTCAGGGGCTGTTTTTGGGGATTTTGGGGGTTTCAGGGGGTGTTTCGGGGATTTCAGGGGTGTTTTTAGGATTTCAGGGGATTCTGGGGTGGTTTCAGGGGGTATTTCAGATGTTTTTGGGGTGCCAGAGTCAGTTTTGGGGGGTTTTGGGGTCCCAGAGTCAGTTTTTTGGGGTCATTTTGGGTTTTTGGGGTGCCCTACCTGCTGCACAGGTGTGTAGGTGACGCTGTGGGTGCCGTCGTGGTTGTCGGTCACCTGCAGGTCCCTCACGGCCTCGCCCTTGCCGGGGCCACTCACCTGCACGTCCAGCGCGGCCCGGCCGGCGCCCTTGGTGCTCACCGTGAAATGGGTGGGCTTGCCCAGCTCCACACCTGCGGGAGACCCCCAAAATCCCCCCCAAAAATCCCGCTCAGACCCCTCCCCAAAAATCCCCCAATCCCAAAAGAGCCACACCCCACCCCTCCCCCCCCCCCCCCCCCCCCCCCCCTTTCCTCCTCCTCAAAAAACCCCAAAATTCTTTGGGATTCCCGGAGTCCGCTGGAGACGCTCAGCCTGGGACCCCCAAATTCCCTCAAATTTCCCTCAAATTCCCCTCAAATTCCCCCAAATCCCCCCCCCAGCCC